GGTTTTGCGAGCGCTCGACTTAATCCGACGCAGGAGAAGTACCATGCAAACGGATTGGAGTGCCTGGCTGTAGTCTTAGAAGATCGGTCTTTTACACTACGAACCGACAACCTACGACACGATGGTCCCTATTATTGCAAGAATTCAACTTCGGAATAGAACATGTATCGGGCGAGAAGAACGAATTACCAGATTTCTTGTCAAGAGAACCGGCACAATAAACACTGACTTTCGTCGCCGCCATCGCTGTGGCGGACCTGGCCAACATGATTAAAGAAAACCAGAAAAAGAATCATCACGCAAAAGACCTCATCCATGCGTGGAATAATATACATACTAACGGCTCTACGAACGCGACCGAAGAAAAAATCCTAAGGGAATACGTGGTTGCTGACGGCCTGCTTTGGCGAAGAAATGATGACGGCAACAGACTCGTCGTACCCACAGACATGCAGGAGCACGTATTATTCGCCTTCCACGATTCACCGAGTACAGGGCACCCAGGAGCGGAAGAAACTACACGAGCCATAGCACGTCACTGGCTAAACTTGGACGACGATGTTCGTCAACACGTACGCACCTGTTGGGCGTGTGCCTCTTCGGCCACATGAGCCCACAATACCCTGGGAAGTGATTGCGGTGGATCTAATGGGACCATATAATGCTACCACTACTGGTAACCGCCACATACTGGTTATCACAGACTTGTTCAGCGGGGGCGTTCCCCATCCAAAGGACGGACACCGCAGACGTCATCCGTGTAATGGACATAGAAGTATTCCCACGATTCGGATACCCCAGGGCTATCCTTTCCGACAACGGCCTACAATTCATATCCATCGAATGGGATGCTGCACTCCGACGGTGGGGATGTCTTCAATGGACTACGCCGATATACCACCCCCAAGCCAACCCGACAAAACGACGAAAACAGGACTTAAAAAAATGCCTACGTCATATACGTAACAATTGGAACAAATACCTGCAAACCGCTCTATTCAACATCCGTTCTCGAAGGAATGCCGCAACAATACAAACACCGGCTTTTATGCTATTGGGTTACGAGCTCCGTAAACCTGAAGAATGCACTCCGACTGCGTAAACTTGGAGAATGGTTCGCCGAAGATCCCGCACCCAACCAAGCCCCTAACGGAGAAGGTAGAAGACAAGAACGAATACGACGCGCCCATATGAACGAGCATAGATACCGGCAACGGTACGCAGGAGAGGTTCCTCCACGAATTCAACTCACACCCGGTGATAAAGTCATGGAACGCAGCCATAAAATACCTCTTAAGCCCTTCTCGCCACGTTGGAACGGACCCTCACATCATTATCAGTACCGCCGAAAAAAACACTTATTGGGTTAGACGGTTCAACACCGCGGAAGCCACCAAGGTCCACGTGAACGATCTTCGTTCGGCACCTCCCACGCCGACAACGAGCCCGACAACCCGGCGCGGCCTCTTGAGGGTGAACGGTGAACATGACGGGCCTCTTGAGGTACCTGGAATTTCTTCCCTAACCCTCTTCATCGGACCTAAAACAAACGGAAAATATATTACAAAATTTTCACTAATTAATATTGACATCGGAAGTGGAATTGGGAAGGACAGTCGGACTCCTGGATCGTCAGACGAGAAGCAGCCTTGGCCGTTTGTGGCGAAGGTGTTCAACGTGGTAATCCGTTAATCCCGCTAGGAGGGGATTGGGGTGGTTTTCGAGCCGTGTAAACTCGGTACTGGCCTTGTCACGAATGAACTCCTCGATGGTCACCATCTGGGAATCATTGTGCAGTGTCGCATTACTGACAAACCAAGGTGCATCAAATGCCATCCTTAGGACCTTGTTCTGAACAACTTGGAGTGTTTGCACGTGCGAGTGCGCGGCGTAACCCCAGACGGAAGAGGCGTAAGTCATCGTAGGTCTGATAACCGCTTTGTAGAGTCGAATCTTCCGTAGAGGATCTAACTTACTTCGGCGATTTATTGACCAGAGCTGCTTTCGCCCGGTTCGCCATCGACTCGATGTGACTTTTCCAAGTTAGTTTAGAGTTCAGAATGACACCCAAATACTTGGCTTCAGAACGCCAGGGGAGCTCGTCCCCTTGCAGTACCATCGCATCGGGGGGTCTCTTTCTACGCCGAGTAAAAAGTACTGCGGTACTTTTATCAGCGTTGATTTTGACCCGCCACTTTGCGAAGTAGTCTAGCACATCGTCGGCGTACATCGCTAACTGAGTGCCCTCAGAACGGGGTAGGTCGCTCACAAAGATACAAAAGGGTATCGGTGAAAGCAACGATCCCTGAGGGACGCCTGCAGTTAGGATTTGCTCTCTCGAACGCATACCTTTCAATTTGATGCGCGCCTTTCTACCGTCAAGGTAGGACGCGATCAATTGAACTAACGCCAGGGGCACGCCCGCTTCTAGCATTTTGAACAAAAGTCCTTCATGCCATAATCTGTCGAACGCTTTGGCAACGTCGAAAAACACAGCACAAGTGCTTTGATTTCGATTGAAGCCATCGGTTATGTGTTCGACAAGTCGCAGTACTTGGTGTACGGTCGAATGTTTGGGTCGGAAACCAAACTGTTCGTCCTGAATGAGGTTAAGATCTTGAACGGATCTTTGTAGCCTCGTCTGGACGACCCTCTCACATACCTTGCCGAGACAAGAAAGCAAACTGATGGGCCTNAAATAAAACTAAGAACAATGGGAAGGTTCCATCAAAACTCGTTACTAACCATAGTAGATAAGTAAATAGTATAAAAGGGAGCAAATTTATAATTCATTAATTCACTTTACTCTAAGACGTTATTGCCGGTTTGAACTCTGTAAGATTTCTTGTAGAATGAAGAGAATGAGGTAGGGGTACGCAGGTAAATGGTAAACAAAGTCGTTTTAGTCGTTGTGCGTCGAATACCAAAGAAACAAGGGTATTTCACCCGAAAATATGCATCGTAATATCGACAAGTTGTTAATTCTTTCATCAATTTTGAGAAAATTATTTTATTTTTACTCATCGGATTGGTTGGTGTTGTGTGTGTGACGTCACATCGAAACTTATTATTAAATTTTCCGTAAGTTTTTCACTTTTCCGCATTTTTTAAACGTTAATCTAACGGCTCATTCAGGTCATTTCCTATCGATTAAAAAAAAATTCATTTCGGTGGTAAATGGGAGGCTGGAGTCCGATCAGTAAAAACTCATTTTAAGGAGAGTTTACAAAGATTTTAATTCAATTAGAAGCTGTTCTTAATGTGTACCGTTTCTGATTAGTAGGGTCTACTAATTACGATGTTTTAACTCCAGGTCATTTTCTAATTGTAACGTTTACGAAGAACGGTTGAAGATTTCTGTAAAAATTGGCAGAAATTTTAAACAATTGTTCCTTTCTGCAAGCGACTGACCTTGTTGGCTTCTTTTGTTTTATTTGGGGTAATTTTGTATTTATTTTGTTCCTTCCATCTATGGATGTCGTTACCCCATTTACTTATTTTTATTAATTTTGCGTGTTGATTCAAATTTTAAAGCTTAATTATTATTTTTTTTCTTCAATCTTTAGTTTTGTAAAGTAAATTTATTAGGAAATAAGAATGGAAGTTAAATTTAAGAAAAACACTTCTTCAGAAACATGGCATCCGAAACGTCAGACATTTTTTCAAAAGACGCACTTCTAGTTTTAGTTTAATTAACACCGGCAGTACTTAATATCAATAAATAAAGCCTTCGTATTTATATTATCAACCTTTATGAGGATGATATTATCAAACAAATCAACGATCTCGACAACTTATGTACAACTTATATACAACTCACAAGGATCGCACTTACATAATAGTAGTTAATAGTAGGTTAATAGTAGTTAATAGTAGGTAATATAATATATTACCTACTATTAACTACTATTAACTTAGGGTAGGCACACACGGTCGATTATTCATCGACGAAACAGTTTAGTTGGATTGGTTTGAAATCGCGATGCATCATCAACTTATAACCGACTAAACTGTTTAGTTGTTCATAAATCGTGTTGTATGCACACACATATCGATTTCGAAACAACTTGTATTTATATTGTATTGAATATTGAATAATACCGGGAAATAATTCAAATTTTCAAAATAATGTAATTGAATTACTTTAATATACAGTGTGGTAATTAATTATCGTACCGACGTCATCATTGAAAGTATGCAACCAATATCACAGTGCAATACGCATCATACGCAAATCGTGTATTGCAATACCAATATTGTGATATGATGACGTCAGGTACGATAATTAATTAACACACTGTATTTAGTGTAGTATATAATTAACTGCGGTAGTAAAACGGAAAATAATTTAACTTAATTTTTTTAAAGTAGTAATCGATTTATGTTGCGCGCGCAACCTAAATTCCTAAAAACCTCAACTAAACTATCGACTTTGTGTGCGCTTCAATATGAAGCTATGGCATTATTGCAGTTGTATCATCGAGATACATATAATTTAATGGAGTACGTGCTCACGATATTCGCTTGGTCGAGAAAACGGTCCGATTCGCCAGCATGTTCCCCCACCCTATAACGGCAAGAAATACAAATAGTACTAACTAATGGATATAATTCAGCATGAATTTATTCAATATTTACTAAGTGATTCAAATAATGTTATTCAATAATGATGAAAAATATGTTACGTTGAAGTTTTTTGCCGTTATGGGGTGGGAGGCCGGCTCGTTTTCTAGCTCAAAGCACGCACTCCAGTAAACATAGTATATCTCGATGAGTTGTACGATAGTTGCACAACTTTTTAATCATAAGTGCACATCGACTCCTTTTGATTAAAAAATCGAGTTGATCTGCAGTTGTGTTGTGTGTGCACCTATATTAAAATTAATACATTTATGTCCATCGACTAAACTATCGGCCGATTAAAAATCGACCGTGTGTGCCTACCCTTAAAAATATTGTAAATTGCGATAATATTCTTTATTCAGATACTAATTTTTGGTTCTGAAAAGAACCGGTCGTTGTTTGGTAGGGCGAGGGATGTTTATATCGCCATTTATTTGGAACTTGTGTACTTAGTAACAGCCTTGGTGCCTTCGCTTACAGCGTGCTTTCTCCAGGTAACAGAAGTCTGACGGCAGTCTGGATTTCTCGACTGGTGATCGTTGATCTTTTGTTGTAATGAGCCAAACGGGATGCTTCAGCGGCTATCCTCTCGAAGATATCGTTCACAAAACTGTTCATTATACTCATAGCTTTGCTCGAAATACCGGTATCGGGATGAACTTGTTTCAATACCTTGTAAATGTAAATAGCGTAGCTTTCCTTTCTCTTGCGTTTCTTCTTCTTATCGGTTTTCGATATATTTTTCTGCGCTTTACCCGCCTTTTTGGCTGCTTTCCCACTAGTTTTCGGTGGCATTGTTGTTGTTCGTTGATTAGTTAATAAAACTTATCCTTGACAAGATTATCGACAGTAACGCAGTGTAACACACTGCAGTAAGTATGCAGTGTTATAAAAATGAACGGTGAACGGTGATTTTCGACAGCAACTTCGACAGTAATGACGATGTATGCAGTGTTATAAAAATTGCCTGTTTTTGCCGTTTATGAAGTAGTAGCGTCGTATCAGTAGGTGACGCCTGCCGTTGCTACCGCTTGGCTAACGGCCGCTATTGGTCGAACCGTCGGCGCAGTTGGTTATATATATTTGAAAAACCTGTGTTCCGCTCAGCTCTGTATTGAAACGTTATCGACAAAGATATCGTTTACATTGAAACATTTTGTTGAAGTTTTCGGCACGCTACCAAGTCAACTAATTGTAAGCCATGTCGGGTCGAGGAAAAGGTGGAAAAGTTAAAGGGAAAGCAAAGTCCAGATCCAGTCGTGCAGGATTACAATTTCCTGTTGGTCGTATTCATCGATTGTTGAGGAAGGGCAATTACGCGGAACGCGTAGGAGCTGGAGCTCCCGTATATTTAGCGGCCGTAATGGAGTATTTGGCAGCCGAAGTTCTCGAGTTGGCCGGTAACGCTGCGAGAGACAACAAAAAGACCCGTATCATCCCTAGACATTTACAACTGGCCATACGTAACGACGAAGAATTGAATAAATTACTATCGGGAGTGACGATTGCTCAAGGAGGTGTACTTCCGAACATTCAAGCTGTTTTGTTACCTAAGAAGACCGAGAAAAAACCTTAATTTAATTACAACTTGGCCATACCATATTAACAAAACGGCCCTTCTCAGGGCCACAAAAAATATAGTCGAATAATGAACTATCGATGTCTGCTGCGGTAGTGTAATTTTGAATGTAACAGTATTGTTAATTCTAAATAACTCTTAAGTGATAAACTTACCGAAAAATAATTTTCGATGTGACGTCATCAACAGCGCTAACGACGTATTTTCACAGCAACACGATTAACACATCTTGCGCGGGTACTTTGCCGCCAAAGTCTTACCGTATAGCGGGCATAAATACCATGCAAACCGAGTTTAGTCGCTTCCCGTGCAAGATGTGTTAACACTGGTCGTATTAATTATTTTTTCCACATCCACGCACACAACGCCAATCAGTAAAAATGAAACTTGTTGATATATACTATGACGCATATTTTCAGGTTTCCGACGTACAATGACTAAGTCTTTATTTACCACCTACCTGCTTGTTTGTGTGGGTCTGAATGTTAAAGTTCTTTTTTTTCGACGGACCATCCAACCCGACATTTTCAGGTAGATGGTAAATAATGACATTCTAGTCGTTGTGCGTATTTCACCAGAAAATATGCGTTATAACAAAAACAAATTATTAATTCTGTCACAAATTTTATCGGATTAATGTTATGTCAGTCATTGATATTACCGATGATTTAAAGTGATTTTCCGGCAAGTTTTACACTTTTCCGTTCTTTTTTTTAATTTGTAACGTCTTATTTGAGTAATTTCCCATCGACGATTCTTGAATTATACCTTTTTTATTCTTATTGTTTTAGATTTCACTAAAAAAAAAGCAAATGTTCTTCAACTTTCATGAGAATAGTGTGTCCCGATTTTATTGTTGACGTGTTACGTATACATAAGAACGAACGAACACGAATATACATTGAATACATATATATATTATTATATATTGCATATAAAAACAACATTGTGTTTTTCATAAGTTATAATAGTTAAGATAAGTTCGTTTCAACCGAACAACCGTACAAATTTGACCCGTTCCTCTACTTGTGCACGACTTTCTTTTGCACATGTTCGTTCATGCATGCGTTCGTTTACGCTGTTGGAACGGAACCCTGCCGAGAATTGGCGCTGCAAGCACAATTTACCATTTCCAACGAAATCCATTTACTTATTTTTTTAACAATAATGAACTAAAAAACGTAATGCGTTCATGGAATAATCCAAATATACGCTTTCATAGTGACATAACCATAACAGACACTAGCAGACAGACTGCACAATTGGAAACGATCCGGAATTACAACCCCCATAAATTGTAGACCTCCGCTTCTGTGCGGTTAAGGGTACTTAACCATTTCTACAGTTGGGCAAATTTATCTTGGCAGGTCAAGGTCGGATGAGTCGTAGCAAAACGTGAGCGTTTCGCATACAGTGTTCAACAAATGTATTTGTGTACGTTTGTGACTTAACAGTGAGATTTAAAAAATTTCAATGAAAAGTAAATTAAAAAATAAGGTAAATAAATTTTAATAATTAAATAAGGTTAAATAATTATTTATTATATTATAATTAATTATTTTTGTAAATTCAGATACCATATGTCTCTTAGAAAAACATTACATATTTAAAAATTATTTTATATTTTCGGCATTGTCGCTTCAACCACGGGAGATAATATCAAACATTTTTAAGATTATGACAAACGAATCCGAAAATGAGGAATGTGTAGTTCCTCCTTCAAAGGTGCAAGATCGCGTGTCGGCTGCAACTTGAGTTTCCATTCGTACAATAAGAAGGATTGTTCGAGAATCCGAAAAAATCGAATTTTAAGAAACCTATTTAATTGTATATAATTATTTTTCTCTATTAAATTTTAGTTATAAAATATGTATAAGTTATACAACAGGCAGGTACATAGCGTAAACGGGCAAACACCTTAATATACCTTCCAGGAGAACTTTCTAAAAAAACACGGTTAAATATTTTTTTAGTGTTATATAACAATTAAGAAATAGACAATAAAATTCTTTAAATTCCTTGAAGTGATTTATTTACCTGCGTTTATGTTTAACAGAAATTCCGTTCACAGCATAAAAGAAAGTAAATTTGAATAGACGATATTAATAAATTATATAAAGAAGGATTACTAAAAAGTTAACGTAATAAAATTAATAATTTTTAAACTGCTTAAGTTTGGGTTATTGTGTGTTTCTAAGATTCTGTAATATTACGGGGCAGATGCAAAATTTTTGACGAGCGCTATACCTGCTGCCGTCGACATCACGAGGTCGCCTATCTTACTTCGACAGTTTGCCGTCGCATTCCTTCTTCGGCGCAACTGACCGGCCATCGTGCATTTTCTGAGCTGTACCTGAGACGAGACCGAGAACCCCGTATAGTTTAGAAAGTCAGGAACGTACCAATGAATTTCTTTGAGTGCATTACACTTAACTGTATTGGTCAGTAAACTATATAATAATAATTAATAATAAATTCGAAAACATAAGCCTAAAGGCCGAACTTAGTCAGAATCACTATCGGAAGAGATTTCTGCATCACTACCTGATTCTTCTAAATTATGCTTATGCCATGCCCGATTTGTGTGAACCCAAAAGATACCTCTTTATTTATGACTTGTTTATGTGCACCATCATAAAACTATTGCTCCTTCTATTGTTAAGGGTCTTTTACAGCCGTATCGTAATTCCGGATCTTGGTGTGGACGACTATACATGAACTTGTCTGACGGCTCTTGGAACCAGAGAATAACATAATATTCTGTGGTTGGAATGCTTGACAAAACGTCGCGGACCAGTCCACGGTTCAGTCGGACCGTGGCAGCACTTTTCAACTGCGTAGGATTGCGGCCGTCAACTGGTAGTCTGAAGTATGGTTGGAACGAACCTAACACATGTACATATGTACGTAATTGTCCGGATTGTATGTGAAAACATTCTTTAACTTTCATAAATATAGTGGTTCTGAAAAGAACCGGGTGGTCATGTTGAATACAGAACAGTCGTCCTCAAAATTAAAATAGGTACATAATTTAAATTTCTTAACCCCCAAAGCCGTAGAGAGTACGACCTTGCCGCTTAAGGGCGTAAACGACGTCCATAGCAGTGACGGTTTTCCTTTTTGCGTGTTCAGTGTACGTGACAGCGTCGCGAATAACGTTCTCAAGGAAAACCTTTAAAACTCCTCGAGTTTCTTCGTAAATTAATCCTGAGATACGCTTTACACCGCCACGACGGGCAAGACGTCTGATGGCTGGTTTGGTGATGCCCTGGATGTTGTCACGGAGTACTTTGCGATGACGTTTGGCGCCTCCTTTCCCAAGACCTTTTCCTCCCTTTCCACGACCAGTCATTTTTCTTGGATAATTCGATTTTCTTTTTATGTAAGTACAACNATTTGCTTCCATATGCATTCAAATATTAATGATCACAACGAAGGTTGTAATGTTAGATATGTATCTGATTTGCAATACGATTACGGTGGTACAGTTGGAAACAGACGAACTCCGAACCGAATTATCCCATAAGAATTAATGGAAAATGAAATACATCGGAAATAGCTGACGGCAGTAGTTTCCTCTACGCAGAGTTTACAGTTCTTCTCGTGAACTCGGCCCAAGCCTTATTCTTCAGTAGAACAGCTTGATTATAGTAGCTTTTCCAGAAGTCCTTTAATATTATAATCAAAATAATATACACATATCACAGAGTGTTCCGTGACTCGACCGACAAACTTATACCATACACTCCGTGGGTCATTACGATCAAAAAATGGCATATCACATATATGTAGGTGAATTCCTCTTTGTTTCGGAGATATCGAAATAAAAATGATAAAAGAAAATTTATTCATTTATTTATTTATGAATGGGTAGCTAATTAACACAAAATTACAGTAGCTGTTCAAAATGAGAACCGCCATTTTCTAAACATCCTTCGCAGTTATCCTTCGTGTCATAGAATGTTGCCAGTTAATTATGACCATTTCATTCTTTAGCGAATTAGTAGCTTCAACTATTCTGACAATCAACTCTTCGCGTGTATCTGGTTTACGATTACAACTTTACACACGAGATTTGAGGCAACCCTACAGAGAAAAATTTAGAGGGGACAAGTCAGATGACCGAGTTGGCCAATGTACAGGACCACCTCGTCCTATCCACCTTTCCGGAAAATTTTCATTACGAAATACCGTCACTGGTGCGGCTTATCTCCCAAAATGTAGTGGTGCCCCATTTTCCTGGAACCACATGCCACGACGAGCTTCTAGAGGAATATCTTCCATGTGATTCGGAAATTCTTCTTCCAAAAAGTGAAGGTAAGGGTCTG